ATATATATATATATATCAGTCAGTGGACATTTTGAAATGAGTTGTATCTCGGTCAATTATTTGCAGGTTGACAATATCAGTAAGAAAGCTACCTGGTTTAACTACAATGTGTGATGCAGCAAAATCTTACTAAAACGTAACATAACGTACAAAGTAAACCAAAGACGTAACGTTAACGTCACACTACCAACTTCTACTGTACGTCATTAGGTACCAGCGTATATAAAAGTATAAATTGTTGACTTACTCTTGGATGAAACGTCTGGTTGAACGAGCCTGACCTTTAAATGATTAAGTTGGTTTAGTTCATGCAAAGTGAATCACATTTTCAACGTACGCCACATTATGTCTGCAGTGTGACAATGGTGGCAACTTAAATAGAAATAAACTTACGTGTGAAGAGAGCTGCTGTCGGTGCAGACTTGAGTGACCTGTGAACTTTGTTTCCTTCCAAAGTCCACTTTTATTACCAAGGCTTGTTGAATGTGTGTGTGTGTGTGTCTGTGTGTGTGTGTGCGCGCGCGCCTCTGCGGATGTCAGAGACATTCTATGTTGACTTTTCTTCTTCTTTATGTTTTTATCAAACACTGAATCAGCCACAGCCACAGCGTTTATTCTCGGTAGGGATTATATATTCTTTATTATTATTATTATTATAATACATTAACTGAATAGTTACAGGTTGCATATACACAAATGAATGGTTCGCACTCCTCACACCGATGTGCCATTCACACTTCAAACGTCACTCATCCTGTCGCCTCATCTTTCACACGGCACGTGAAAGGAAAAGACTGTTTGTGTGTGAACCTTTGTGTACACTGGGTGGCAGCAGTGAGTCAGCACTGACACAGAAACAAGACCAACGTGTCTATGAAGAATGAGAATAAGAACAATAGAAAAAAAAAAAGATTGTTTGAACAAAACAACAAATCAGGGGATTAATACATTCCAACAACTAACGAAATGTGTAAATATGAATAAAAAGAAACAGAAAAGTCAAGTTGTTTTCACACTTGAGGCTAATTTAGCCCCATGTTACTACAGCGGTTAGCCCAGGGATGATGTGTACATTATGTTTTCAACCTTCTAAACCCAGGTTTGCTTAAAATGTGCTGAGCTGTTTTATAATACTGTTAGTGTTAGAGCCTGAGCATGAGGACCAATGTGTGCCAGGCCCCAGTCTGGACCAGGTACTGTGTGTTAACGGCTAAAGGTGGCAGAAGTTTGATTAAAAATGAGGAAAATAGTCTCTCTCCTCCTCCTCCTCTTCTTCTTCTTCCTCCTCCTCCTCCTCATGTTGTAGCTGCTTTGGTTTCACAAATTCATTTCACAAACACATTTCTCACTTTCTTGTTTTCCTTCTTTCCCTCCTCTAGTACCAGCAGCAACCGTGTTGCAGTTGAACAGATGTTGCTATGACAGCATGCACCGCCGCTGAGTCGACAGAAATACAGACTCGTAGTAAACGGTTGAGACATCCTTAACTATTCACAGATGCTTCTTTTTTTTTTGTTTTTTATCATTTTGTGAAATCTGAATCGAAATATTCTTCTGATGTCAGTTCAAACAAAATAACTTATTTTTTCTTCTTCTTTACCCATGCCTTGATATTATATCGTCAACATCTGTTCGTGCTCGCGTGGGTTGATGTGGACCTGAGCCACCATGCATCAAAAGCAGGCTGCCTTTTTGTGTCTTAGTCTCGGGGTTGCACACAACCTGAAAAAAAACCAGACTTCCTTTAACACCCATTCAGAGTCCCGCTGTCTGTTTCCCTCCTCTCACTTTCCTCTCTCCAACTTCACGTCCCACACATACTTTCACCTGGAACTCTACTGCATTTACATCTTCTCACCACACGGCTTGTGAAAGTGTGTCCCGACGACACGCTGCTCACTGCTATGCGCGCCGATGGGCTCGGCTTCATGAAGATCCCTCGGGGGTGTTTTTGAATTAACACCGTACAAAAATAAAGTGGCATCACCGGGGATGAAAGTCAGATCGAGCCTTGTGGAATCCAAGCTCATGGTTTCATGTTCGGAGCTCGTAAAGCACAAAGCTGCGATGTATTTCTCCTTCTTTTTTTTTTTTTACATTGCTTTTCTATTCAGCTTCTCTCATGCGGCTGAACTCGTGTGAAGTTGCCAAACTACTGTTGCTAAAAATAAGATCCAGGCAATTTCTTTTTACTGCAGCAACTGAGTGAAAATATATTATGATTCTAGCATAAAGTGTCTCTGTGGTTCCAGCATCGCATCCAAACAAACAGGAAAACGTTGCTTCATTAGAGGGGAGAGCTCCAGCTTTGTTTCCCTCCGTCTGCCTCCTGACTAGCTCCATCCTTTGTTCTTTCTTTCTGGGCTAACGCTTTACGCCCACATGCCGCTGTTCCTCTTCTGCTCTGTGTGCATGCGCCCTCTGCGAGCGTGCACGTGGCTCCTGATCCGGGCTTTACGCCAGTGAGCGTTGTCTGGGTTTGATCCTTGGATACAGCTGGAGAGAGAGAGAGAGAGAGAGAGAGAGAGAGAGAGAGAGAGAGAGA